TAGGACAACGATGGCGACTAACATGTTGTCAGTTGTGATGGACATGATGACGGTGTTGACCACGATAGACATGACAAGTCTCCTGGCACTTCTTGTTACTACTGTTGCTGCGATACCAGAAGCTGTAGTGGGCATTCGAGACTTTCGCATTTACCAATACCGCTCCTTGTCGGAATTACTTTTCTGCGATGCGAGTGATCGCAAATTCTGGAAAATTCCACCCAGCACAGATTCGTGCGGCTGCTGCGGAGGCACGGTGAGTTGAAGTATGACTGCACATCAGCATTTTTGGCAGTAGGGTTGTGGGCTCTGAACCCTAACCCCCATATCCTAAGCAACCTTCAACCAGAACCCTGACTGAAGCCCAAGTGGCCCTAAACCTCTTGAAGCTTGAAGCCTACATAGGGTTCGGGGCTGAAGGTTTGAGATGTCTCCAAGATATACCCTTACTATAGCAATTATATACCCATTATATAGCCCATTACAGGGTAGGGGTCCCCATTAAGGGTCCCTCCTTTTCCCCTTGAGATGTCAGACTTTTTTCGGCAGCTTCTCCTCCCGAACGTGTTTCGGCTTTAACCTTTGCTCCGAACCCTCTAGGGAACGGGGCTCTTGCAAAGCCTACTTGAAGGATCATGGGACTTAGTAACTAGGGTTCTATAAAGGGCTCCTTTAAAGGAGATCTATAGGGGTTCTATTATAAGAGGGGTCTTAGGGTCGACGTAAAGGATCATGGGACTTAGTAACCAGGGTTATAATTGGGTACTTTCTTACTCAGTCCCATGATCCCCCAAGTAGATTGAGAACTAGCACCTTTCAGGGTTTTCGAAGGTTTTGCAAGGGGAAACCCCATTCATTTAAGTCCCCAACTGCGGAGACATGTGGGTGGTTGTCAAAATTATGGTCCCTTTTTAGGTCCCTGTAATAGTACGGCACCTAGTATGTAGGGTACCCAAGAAGGGACCATAATTTTTGACAACAACCCATGTTTTCAAGGGTCGGGTCATCAGAGTGCTGTCCTGGCCTGAGGGTTGTACGCTGCTCACACCCTGATGAGAGTTTCCGAAAATCAGGGGTACCTTGTTTGGGGTCCTTACAATAAGGATCCTACTATTTAGGGTACTATATTCGGGTCCCCTATTTTCGGAAACCCCCTTGTAGGATTTGACTCTTCAAGTCTTCAAAGGTCCCGGAAGATCGAGTTGAACATCTATTCAGGAGTAGATTCTGCTAAAGTCCGAAAACCCGTAACTGCTGCGGAACTCTCCGATATAGGAAGATTTGGGGTGTAGCACTTAGGGCTACGAATCCCTTGGACCCAGAACCAAAAACCGCAACCCCAAGTCAATCATGACACCTTTAGTTTTCACTCTTACTGGCTACATTCCTAGATCCTTGTTTCTATCAGAGCAATACTTGTATTTATAGAAAAATTGTACAGCGCACCCCCGCCCCACACATTCACACACACACACACATACATACACACGTACATACATACATGCATGCATGCATGCATGCATATATATATATATATATATATGCACATACAAGAATACATACATACATACATACGTACATACATACATACGTACATACATACATACTTACATACATGACGTACATACATACAGACATGCATACATAATGCTCAACCTTGAGCCCTGCAGCAACCTCAGGCCCTGGGCAGCCTGGGCGCCAGCGAGGCAGCGCCGGCGTTGCAGAAGGGCTTGGAGGCGCGGGTTACGGTTTAGGGTTTAGGGGTTTAGGGTTTAGGGGTTTAGGGTTTAGGGTTTAGGGGTTTAGGGTTTAGGGTTCAGGGGTTTAGGGTTCAGGGGTTTAGGGGTTTAGGGTTTAGGGTTCAGGGTTTAGGGGTTCGATCCTCAAAATTGTTTTTCAAGGGTTCCTGCAGGGTTTGGTCTTAGGGTTTTAGTGTTTTTTTAGGATTTACGGCTTTTGCGGCCTTGGGGCTTCAGGATTAGGGGGTTCCTTTACTCCTTTAAGGGATCTAGAGTAGGGTTCTCTATTGTAGGGGTTTAGGGTTTAGAGGTTTTAGGGGTTTGTGAGTTTAGGGTTTGCGGTTTTAGGGGTTTAGGGTTTGCGGGAGGTTATGGAGTTTGCGGGTTTTGGGTTACAGGTTTCATGGTTTGGGGCCCGGCAACACCCAAAAGCTGTTAATTCCAGCATAGATGGGATCTTGATGGCTGAACGCATCTTCAAGCAAGTGTTCGGAGTCATGGTGGGTTGGGGTTTTGTGCGGATGGGTTTCGAGTCATGCAGACGTCCGCAGACGTGGGCAAGAGAGCGTGGGCAAGTGGAGAGCCCATCCATCCTGTCAAGACCCCGACATGGCCGCAACGACTTGGGAGTCTCCGAATATTGGGGGTACCTTATTTTGGGGTCCTTACAAAAAGGATGATACTATTTCGGGTATCATATTAGGGTCCCCTATTTTCGGCAACTCCCACTTGTCATTGTCGTGTCTATGATCTGTTGATAGGTGATGCCGTCCAACCGTCCATCCATTCATCCACGTGTCCATTCATCCATCCATCTCCCTCTTTCTCTGCGCGGTCGTGACGGCTATTTTTCTGTATCGATGTGATGATGTAGGGAGAAACTTCTGTGATGATATGTATTTATCTGCCTCATTTCTAACGGCTGATCTGGTTCTCTCTCTCTCTCTCTCTCTCTCTCTCTCTCTCCTTTCCTCCCTCCCTATTTCATTTTGTATCCACATACCCAGTGTATACCGGAAAATCTATCTACGTCTATCTACGTATCTCCATCTGCATAACTTGTCTATACATGCATCAGCTCCCACCGACCTCTCGGCCTACAAAGAATCCTAGTATTTCTTGCTGTTTCCCTCGACCCTAAACCCTAAGCCCTCAGCCCCAAACCCTAAACCCTAAACTTTAACACCCTAAACCCTAAACCTTGTTTAAACCGAAAACCACGAAGACTTCCTAAGCTCGCACAGACTCCTAAGCTCGAAACCCTAAAACCTAAACCCTAAACCCTAAATCCTAAACCCTAAACCCCTAAACCCCTAGACCCCTAAACCCTAAACCGAAAACCACCAAAAAAATCCTAAGATCGAGGATCCCTCCCTCCTCGTGGCCGCCGCCTGCGCCCTGGCGCTGGCCAAAGCCGCGCCGAGCGGGGCTTCGGCGGCGGCCGTGGCACCGCTCCTTCAGGAGCTTTATATATATATATATATATATATATATATACATGTATCTATATATATATATATATATATATACATGTATCTATCTATATATATATATATATATATATATATATCTATCTATCTATATATATATATATATATATCTATCTGTCTCTATCTATATATATATATACCCATATATATATATATATATACACATACAAAGATAGATAGCTAGATATGTAAATATGTAGAGCTATGTTTTGTGTCTGTTTCTATGTCTATCTCATATGTATATCTGTATGCAACCGCACGTGTTTTAAAGAAGGCTCCTTCGGAGGTCCTTGTAGGGGCCTACTTTTCCGATGATTATGCTTCAGGTACGGAGCTGCAAGGGGGGCTCAGGTTTAATGTTATAAGGGGGCTATGAGAGTTTCTGTAAGGGTTACTGTAAGGTTAACAAATGAAGCCTGGATAATTGATAGTACTATTCCTGAGGGTTTTTTATCATAAGTCTACTGGAGTATATCTCGACGCCCCATCTTAAGAACCCTAAAGACCCTTATAGAAACCACAAAAGGATTCCTTGAAGGAACTCTATTCTGATTATTCATTGAAAAAGAGTGTGTGCCGAGCGCTGAGGGCAGTCTTGGGGCTTTGGTCCGGAGCCCCGGTATAGGGTTTGGGGTTCAGCCCTCTGGCCCGAGTGCCTTCCAGTGGCAGGGTGGAGCTAGCCGAAGCCCGGGTTTGTCGCTTCCTCCTAGGGCCATGGTCTCCCTGGAACCTTTATGGGCTATGAAACAACAGGTTGTCTCGCTGGTGATTCGCCGCTTTCAGGATGATTTTCAGGCATGCCCTTCTAGGCTGCCCCTTCATGTGGTCTTTCGGCATGCTCCCCAGAGTGATGTGCAACAGTTTCTGCTGGTGGGCTTTCTGGCTACTTATTCTGAAGGGATTTGCTTGGAGGCGGAGGAAGGCTCTATGGTTTTTCCTTTGGTGGCACAGCTGGCGAGGGATCTGGTTAGTGCGAGGGTCGTTACATCGGCCGACGGCCAGGTCTGGCCGGGACTGGAAAAAGGAGGGTGGCACGTTGAGATGGTGCCGCGGATCGTGTTGAAGACCATGCTTCGTCATCGCATAGGGTCGGGTTTTCTCCAGGGACGACCAGCGGCGCAGGCGGAGGCCTTGGCTGTCCATTTGGTTAGGACCACACCGAAGGCGGGAGTTCTGCTATTGGACGTTTCTGAGGAGGCCTGTGCTCTTTTCGGTGAGCTTCAGTGCGAGCCTGTTGAGCCGCCAGTGTTGGCCTCCTTGATTCTGAGGGCAGGCTACTTGAGTCAGGCCCCGGTCCTGCTGATCACTGGCCCAGTGCAGGCCCAAACGTGGTGCAAGGAATCCATTGGCGTCTTTTGTGCTTCGCTGGGCTATGACAGCCGTGACCTAGTCATCCGTGATTCTCACAGTGGCCTTGCTTCCTGGTGGTGTTGCCTTTCAGCATCGAGTGTGGGCCCAGTGCCCATCGAGGAGCCGGGTTCCAGCCTGAACCCAGAAGGTCTTGAGGATGCCGCTTGTGTTCTAGGTGGCCACGTGCAATGGGTGAGCTACCAGCTTTGCAAAGGCCTGCGCCATTCCATCCTGTCGAGAGCAGCCATGTTGCAGCCTGCAACGACCTTGTCTTCGGGTGTGGCCTCCTCTAAGGGTGTTGGTCGTCTGGGCAGCAACCTCCTGGCTCAGGAACCCAGCGACCTGGGCTCCTTCCGTTCTAGTTTCGGCGGCAGCTAGTCCCGACCCCCAGGTGCCAGCAGGTGCCGAGGCTGAGGGCTCCATGGATGCCCCTGCTGCAAGTGATGATGAGTTGATGCCGTGCCCTAAACGCCGGTGCTCAGACGAGGCTCAAGGTGAGAGGCTTTTCTGGAGCCACGTCTTTGACACTGAATGTGCAGGTGACCTGGTGGCGACCCTTGCCCACTCGACGGTGGAGTGGGTTCGCCAGTTTCATGCTGATTTGCTTCAGGGCCGTGCGATTGCTCTGTATGGGGTGTCCTCTTCAGGTAAGCTGGTGCACTTGGCCATGCATGTCCCAACCGGGAGTCGTATCCGGCTAGCAGTGTGGGGCGCCATGCCCTTAGGCGCCCAGGCTGGCCTACCTGAGGCCAGGCTTGCAGCAGAACTGTGTGGGGCTATCACGGCCGATGCCCGCCTCCATGTGCTTGCCCTGCAGGGCGAATGGCTTGCTGATGATCAGATGGCGCACGGCCTTCTCGGCATCGCTCTCTCTGAAGGCCGGTGCTTCAGGGTACTTGACCCCCTTGACCTCTCGGACTCTATTCGACTGGGCCGCCCTGCGGGAATCATTGCTGATCTGACCCAGAGTTGGGCCTCCGGAGCCCTGCTGTCTGCTCTCGCGATCGATGGCCACTGGGTCACCTTCTGTTGGACCCTGAGCCGGCACCAAGTTGTGGCTTGGACGAGTGTGCCTATGCATGTTGCGACTGGGCCCCTGGCCGAAGGGATTGCGGCTGCCAATTGGATCGTGGCTAAGGCTCTAGGCAGGTGTGTCGCCGAATTTGTCTGCCGAGGTGGCCCCACAAGGCATGTTGTGCCCGGCATGTGTGGCCCCATGGCCTTGCTTGATCTCCACCACCATGTGACCCAAACCTTTCCGAATCCTGAGGCTGATCGCACCATTGTTGCCGCCTTTGCTCGGGCCTTTCAGTGTGAGATTGGATCCTCCTATTGGGTCCGGCCCCCTTGTGTGATTTGCGGGGGTGGTGCCGCCCTTGCTGGAGCACGGCCTGGCCGCGGTGTTGCGTGAGAAAGGAGTGCCCGATGCACTTGTGCAGAGCCGGGTTCAGGCAGCTATTCAACGGGTCGGCCGAGGCCCTCTCCAAGCTGCCCTCCAAGGGGCCAACCAGTGGCGTAGCCTGAAAGCTGTGTGTACCAATGCCAGCCCACCGTTGTCCTACCTGGTGAGCTGCAAGGCCTTATCGATGCGAGGGCTGCCTTCGGTGAAGACCCGGCCCCCAAGCGCAAAGCTAAGGGTGGCAGAAAACCGACCACTGTCGAGAGCCCCCGTTGGGTCCTGCCCCATCCTGATCAGGTCTCGGTTGCTGCCGGAGTCTTCGCCCAAGACGGCCAGCCGCTCTCGCAGATCACTACGGCGGACATCGGTCCCCAGGCTAAGGGTGTGGTTGTTGTTGCTGGCACCTCGGCCCAGCCTTACCTCCGAATCGACAAACCGGTGTCGAAGCAGGCCCTCGGCCTTTTGGTTTTGGGGGAGCTTGATCTTCAGTGATCAAGATTTCGCCCTGCTGGATGTAGAGAATGGCCTGTGGGGGCTGGTCATGGGCAAGCACAGCCCACCAAAGGCCCGTGCCCGACGGTCTGGGTATGGGCTGCAAAGGGCGAGCCTCCCACTTCCAGTCTTTGAAGGCCTTGACAATGGTGGCTCGCTGAGTGCCATAGGGCCACGGCCCTGCATGGAAGGTTTTGGCCCCCTCCGTGGCCATGTACGGAGTGGCAGGCCGAAGGATGGCATGCAGTGCCTCAGTTTTGTCCTTGGCACATCGGACACCGAACCTGGTCCCAACCCTAGCCAGGCCAACAACATCATCGTGGGTCTGCTTGAAGACCAGGGCATCATGAAAGGTGGCCTTGGGCATCCAGAACACATTGAAGTCGCCAATGACCCGTGGGCCGCAGCATTGTCTACCAAGTCGGTGCGGGCAGGGCCAGCTGTTGCCCCAGTCGTTGAGATCAAAAAACTCGAGGAAAAGCTGCAGGCCCAAATCACGGCGCAGATCACCTCCCAAGTGGCAGCGGCCAATACCACCATGGCCACCCGGGTTTCAGCTCTGGAGACCTCAGTTGCAGAGGTTAACACACGTGTGCAAGGCCAGGAGAGCCGGCTCCGTGAAGCCTTCCAGCAGTTGTTTGAGGAGCAAACCGCGCGAATTGAGCAGCTTCTGGCGCCCAAGCGGCCACGAGTGAACGAGTGACTAGGGCCTTTTGGCCCCACCAATTTTGCTGGGCCCCGGAGGGCCAAAGGGTGCCAACGTGTTGATGCCCTTGACTTTGGGTTTAGTCAGTTCCAGTTCCTTTATGGTTTTTCGTGCAGACCCTTCCCTGTTGGGAGTGTACGTTCAGGCCTTGGAAGGGTCACCAGGCATTCGGCTGGTTCTTTTGGCGCTTTTGCCCCTTGTGGCCGTGCGAAGCCTACCATATGGGGATGGTGCTCTTTCCGGGGGTTGTGGATTTGCTGCATCACGTTCCTTTTCTGACCAGTGCCTGGTCATCATGAGCTGTCTCAAGGGGAGAGCCTGCAATGCCAGCCACCTTGGACTTTTGGCTCTTTTAGCTTCTTTTCGCTTTGGGGAAGCCTCTCACCCCGGCCCTGGCCCAAGCCGTGCCCCGGACGAGGCTGATGATTGTTTTGTTTTGGGTGCCTTCAATCCCACAGGATTGAACGGCAAGCATGGGATTGTTTCGGAACTCCCGAGGGGTATCCATGCAGTTTCGGAGTCCCACCTTACTGCCAGAGGCCTGGGCCTATTTCGCAATGGCCTCCACCACGCCGGGAACTTCTTTCGCTACCTCCCTGGGCCGCCTGCCCCGTGCCGTGCCCGAAGTGCTGTCACTGGTGACTACACAGGTGTGGGCTTTCTTTCCTCGGTGCCCTGCCAGGTTGCCTCTTTTCTGGTAGGCGCCGTCTGGATTCTTGGGGCCGTTGCCTGTGGCTTCCCTACCTCGCCAAGTGCTACTGCGAGCCTCCTTGATGCCATCACCGACCGGGTTGCCCGGCAAGGCAGTGGGCCACGATTTATTGCAGGGGACTTCAACCTTCAGCCGCACTCCTTGCACCACGCCCAGCAATGGGCTGACTCCGGCTTTGTCGAGATCCAGGACCTTTGGCACCAACAGACCGGCGCCCTTCCCCAGGTCACTTGCAAAAATGCCACCCGCAAGGATTACCTTTACATTTCGGCGGAGTTGCAACCTCTGCTTCGGTCGGTGACAGTTGACCCTACCTGGTTCTGCGATCACTCTGCCTTGTTTGCCTCATTTGCTGTGCCGGGCTTGAACGCCCCTCAGCCTGTGTGGCGAATGCCTAGACAACGACTACTGGGTGCCGAAGTTGTTAAAGCTTTCCAGGAGTCGGGAGATGCACACCCTCCTCCCCCGACTGACCCGGAGCAAGCCTATCGGGACGTGTGGAAGGAGTTTGAATCTCGAGCCTCCCAGGCCCTGCGCAGTTGTGGCCAGTCGGCCTTGTTGCCTTCGGAATGTGGCCGTGCCACCACCAAGGAGGTGCATGTTGTCAAGGCTTTTCAAGGCCAGGTTGCGGTAGGTCGCCAAGGTGAGGCTTCACCCTCTTTCTTCGGTTCGGACCGCCAATATTGCCAGTGGTTCCGGCAGCTTCGGCGGTTGCAGGCCCTTGCTCAATCTACCCGCCGGGCCACATGCTCCGACTCGGCTGCCCTCTACCGGGCTGGGCTGTGGCATGCCATCCAGCGTGCCCCTGGCTTCAAACCATCCTTCTCCGCCTGGTGGCCCAAGCGCGAGATTCAGCTGCCGGGTGATCCGAATCATTTGGAGGCTACTCTGCCTGAGCCTGCGGTGGCACAGCTCATCTTCCTGTCCTTCCAGGCCAATGTCAAAAGCTTGGAAAAGCGCCTCACCACCCGGCGAAGGGCGCAGGCCAAGCAGCGGAGGATCCTTTCCCCGGCCTTGATCTTTCGGGACCTTCAGCAGTCTATGGCACAGCCGGTAGATACCATTGTGCAAAGTGTCAAGGCTACGGTCCTTGAGGTTCGGGCGGAGGAGGAAGCCTTGGTCTTTTCGGCGAGCCCCCTGTGGCGTGCCGGGGAAGGTTTCTTTCTCAATGGACAGCCCTTCGAGGTTTATGCTGCCCAAGCAGACGCCATCTGGTGTGATACCGAGGGTGTGAGTGTCGGCGATGTTGTCTCGCAACAAAAGTGCATTGCTGACCTACTTGGTCTCTTTTCGGCCTTTGGCGATGAATGGCTCCGGCGATGGATGCGGCACAAGACCATTGAACCGGGTCGATGGGCTGCCATCCTGGAGGCCTTCCCGGAAAGTGTGGGTGAACCTCTCGCCTTGCCCCTCTTACGGTGCAGGGGTGGATGGCCGCGGTTAGGAGCAAGCATGCTCGCTCGGCCACTGGCCTTGATGGTGTTTCACGGGCCGACCTCCTTGCCTTACCGGGGGCTCTCACGGCCCAGCTGCTTGACCTCTGTGCCAGGGCTGAGACAACTGGCGACTGGCCGCCTCAGCTCGGCTTGAGCTGCAGCTCTCGATTGAGCGGGCCCATATAAAAGGTAAGCCACTCGTGGGTGCATTGCTGGACTTGAGCAAGGCCTTCAACAGCTTGCCAAGGGCACCTGTCTTTGCCCTTGCTCTGCGTTTGGGGCTCCCCCGTGAATTGGTTACGGCCTGGAGCAGTGCTGTTGCTAAGTTGGCGAGGAGATTTCAGATCCGAGGGGCTACCGGGCCCGTGTTGCCCAGCTGCTCCGGGTTCCCGGAGGGATGTGCACTGTCGTGTGTGGCCATGGCAATCGTGGACTTTGCCCTTCACTTGTTTGTGGGCAAGCGAGCAGACCCTGAGGTCCTTTCTACTTTTGTGGATGACTGGCAGCTGATCGGCCACGATAGGGCGATTGTGGGCCGTGCCTTGCAGGCGGTTGAGGACTTTGTAAGTGGTTGGGACCCTGCAATGGACCCGGCGAAGACCATCCAATGGGCCACCCATCCGGCTCAGCGACGTGAGCTCCGCCGCGCGGGGGTTGCAGTGGCCCTTTCCTGCCGCAATCTTGGAGGTTACATGGTCTTTACTCGGCAACGTTCCTCATCTACTCTGATGCAGAGGATACAGTCCCTTGATGGACTTTGGCCCAAACTCTCTGCCTCCTTAGCGCCATTGACTCAGAAGGTCAAGGCTCTGATGCAGGACGCCTGGCCCAGAGCTCTTCACGGCGTCTCGACCGTTACACTCAGTGACTCGACTTTTGCGAGCCTGCGTGCTGGGGCTGCCAGGGGTTTAAGCCTAAGTAGGCCCGGCCTTAATCCCAAGGTTCTCCTTAGCCTAGTGTGCCACCCGCTTGCCGACCCGCAGTTCTTTGCCATTGCCAGCACTTTCCGGGACCTCCGCGCGTATGCCACCCCGGAGGCACTGATCCCGATGATCCAGCAACTTCTTTCTACCCCAGGCCGGTGGACGCAGGGCCCGGCACAGGCCTTCATTGACCGATGCCACTCCATTGGAATGAGTTGGGATGTCGAGTGTGGCTGCCTACGCGACTCGATTTCTTCTTTTGACCTTTGGCAAACCTCCCCTCAAGAAGTCGGCCTGCGTTTGATGTATGCGTGGCAAACCAGAGTGGGCCAGGAACTTGAAGCCAGGCCGGGCTTCCAAGGCCTCTCTCGGGTTGACCCGGGCCTCACCTCTTCCTTCAAGACTGGCAAGGCGGAGCATGAACGTTTGGAACTGCTGTTAGTCCAATCGGGTGCCTTTTTTACCCAGGATGCCCTGCACCATTTTAGTGCCGACCCTGCTGACAGTGCGGCCTGCAAGTACTGTGGTTCTAGGGATAGTCTTCACCATAGGTTGTGGGAGTGTTCTGGGTTTTCTGAGTGTAGGGACGAGCGCAAGGGGTGGATGCTGCCTGACCCGGCTACAGCGATGCCGTGCCTCGCCCTCCATGGCTGGGCCCTTCGACGTGAAAGGCAGCTACAACTTTGGCAGAACTTACATGTCATACCGGACCGGGTCGCTGCCGTGGACTGGCCGGCTATTCTGCCTGAGACGCTTGACCTTTTTACCGACGGATCCTGCCTTTTGCCGACCCTGCCTCAGGTTCGCCTCGCGGCGTGGGCAGTTACATTGGCGCGGGATGATGGTGAGACGCCCTGGGTGCTCTGCTCGGGACCTTTGCAAGGGATCCTGCAAACGGCGTTCCGACCCAAAATCAAGGCCGTCGTGGCGGCATTGGGTGTTGCCCTCAGGGCCAGGCGGGCGGTTCGTGTATGGTCTGACTGTGCTGGGGTTGTTCGGCGAGTACGGGCAGCCAAGACGGGCGACTTAAGCCCTCTGTGGTCTGAAGTCGTGGCCCTTGTGGAGCGAATTCAGACCCCATGGTCTATCCATAAGGTGGCGGCCCATGAGGACCTGAGCTCCTCGGACTCGCCTTTTCAGGATTGGTTGATCGCCAACAATGCGGCGGTGGACCGCGCAGCCCATCGGGCCAACATGGACCGGTCTTCTGCTTTCTGGCAACTGTGGGAAGCCGTCAGACGGGACCTGGCCTTGCAGATGGCACATGGTCGCGCGATGACTGAGCTACAGGTGGCGGTGGCTGAACGTGCCATCAAAGGAAAAGACCTCGTGCCTGCCGAGGACTCCCATGTGCCGGTTGGACAGCTGCCGATTTGGGGCAGTGATCTGACGAACCTGCCTCGACACCTGCTCAAATTTGGGCGGGACTACGTGGACACCCTGGTCCCTTGGCTGCGTGACGTTTTGCACGATACCACCAACAAGGCCCAGTGGGTTTCCTTTGCCCAGCTCTACCTGGTGTTCTATATCTGCACTGGCCTCGCGCCGCCGGTGTATGTTGACCGTGCACGTGGCTGGACTACGTACAGCGAGGATGATCCTTTGACTGCGAGATTTTCTATGTCTGATCGTGCCAGGTTTTTCAGGCAGCATGTGCGGGCGGTGGTAGCTGCGACCTCCGGCAGATTGTACACTGGGGAAGTGCGGCCATTCTCGGCTGCTCTGGCTATAAAACTTCCGAGCTGCTTTGTTTCGATCGAGGCCACTTTGCTGGACAGAGTTGAAAGTTTCTTACATGATGCTCTGCCAAATGGAGTTTGCGCCCAGCGAGGGCGTGAGTGGATCTCGATAGGACTCCCTCGGTCCGCCTAGCACGCTGAGCGTGCCAGGTGAAGCCGACTTCCGCTGATGCTGAGGTCGACTGCAATCCGAAAGGTGCCGAAAGGGTTTGGGGTTCAGGGTTTCAGAGAGTCGAGGCCTTGGAGATCTTCTTTTAGGACCCTTGAACTAGACACCCCTAGTTTTAGGAAGCTTGACCTCACTTGGCACGAGGATTTAAGGTTTTCGGGTTTAGGGTCGCGAAGGTTTAGGGTTTAAGGTACTTAGGGTTGAGGGTTAATATAGGGGCCTTAATAAGTACCTATACCGTTTCGGGGGTTCCTTCTTGCAACTAGAGTATAATGGGCCCCAAACCCCAATTCTAATTATGAAGGCCCTTATCTTATAGTACCCTTATAGATCCCATATAGTAACCCTTCCAGACCCCTTTAGAGGAATCCTATTCTAATCATTGCTTGGAGGATCATGGGACTTAGTAAGTAAGGTTATAAGTACCTTAATTGTTGTTATGAGTATAGTGACCCTAATTATAACCCTAGTCACCAAGTCCCATGGTCCCTTAAGTAGACCCTAAGACCCCTCTTATAATAGAACCCCTATAGATTTAAAGTATAACCTTAGTTACCAAGTCCCATGATCCTTTAAGTGAGGCCCTTACATTAGGGCTTTTTATTACGGCCTCTATATTGTAGCACCCTTATAAATCCCATATAGTAACCCTTCTAGATCCCGTTAAAGGAATCCTATCCTAATTATTGAGGCCCCTACTTAAAGGATCGCGGGACTTAGTAACTAGGGTTGTAATTAGGGTAACTTTTCTTACAACCCCAATTAAGGTACTTATGACCGTACTTACTAAGTCCCATGATCCTCCAAGTAGACCCTAAACCCTAAACCCTCCAGATCCGTTTAAGGAACCCTTCAAGGATCCCTAAACCTTACTTACTACTGTAAGTCCCCTGATCCTCCAAGTAGACCCTAAACCCTAAACCCTCTGGATCCGTTTAAGGAACCCTTCAAGGATCCCTAAACCTTACTTACTAAGTCCCCTGATCCTCCAAGTAGACCCTAAACCCTAAACCCTCTGGATCCGTTTAAGGAACCCTTCAAGGATCCCTAAACCTTACTTACTAAGTCCCCTGATCCTCCAAGTAGACCCTAAACCCTAAACCCTCTGGATCCGTTTAAGGAACCCTTCAAGGATCCCTAAACCTTACTTACTAAGTCCCATGATCCTCCAAGTAGACCCTAAACCCTAAACTAAACCCTATAGATCCCTTTAAGGAACCCTTATAGATCCCTTTCAGGATTCCTTTAAGGAACCCTACTTGAAGGATCATGGGACTTAGTAAGTAAGGTTATAAGTACTTTAATTGGGGTTATGAGTATAGTGACCCTAATTATAACCCTAGGTACTAAGTCCCATGATCCTTTAAGTATAGATCCTATAAGTGACGCCTATAGATTAGGGCTTTGAGCCCGGAGCCTCCAGGACCCTCGGCACACGCTTCGCTGCGCTGCGGCCGCGGCCCTGGGGCAGATGGGTGAGACGGCGAAGGCCTGGGCGGCTTAGGGTTTAGGCCTTTTAGGGTTTAGGGTTTACGCCTTTTAGGCCTTTTAGGGTTTAGGGTTTTTCAGGGTTTAGGCTTTTTACAGTTTCGGGTTTAGGTTTTTTGGGGTGTAGGGTTTAGGGTTTAGGGTTTTGGGGACCTTGCTTGAGGCCTGCTTTGGGGACTATTCGTGGGACCTTCTATCAGCATTCTTTGAGGTCTAAGGTTTTTTTGCACCCCCAAGCACAAAAGCCCACAAACCCTATACCATAGAACCCTGCTATAGACCCCGACCCCTTTGAGGGAACCCCCTTAAAAGGAACCCCTATTCTAGTTATTCAGGCCCCTTTTCTTAGTGTACAGACCAGCGCCTCGAGGGTCTCAGTTGGAAATATCTCAAAGCAGTCCTTCAGGGCTCCTTTAGGGGTATATGGGTGCTGTAACAGGGTTCCATTTGGGGTTCCCTTTAAAGGAACCCCTTTATCTCGTAGCATCCGTTAAGGTTCCCATGCAATCTTCTCCCGGTTCCTGAGAGGGCTGTCCTGTCACAAGGGTTCCTGGGAGGCTCCTTGAAGGGTTCCTTGAGGGGCTCCTTTAAGGGTTCCTTGGAGGCTCCTTTCAGGGTTCCTTGAGGGGCTCCTTTGAGGGTTCCTTGGAGGGCTCCTTTAAAGGGACAGAGTAGCTCCTCCTTCTCAGAGCGCTTAAGAGAGCCTTCCGTAAAAACCCTGGGTCCCCCCTTATATTATGGTAACTTAAGTTAATATTATGGTAACTTAAGCTGATATTATGGTAACTTAAACTGCATTCCTTAACAAGAACCCAGACAAGCGGACCAAGGTTTGGGGGGTCTCAGTTGGAAACATCGCAAAGAAGTCCTTCATGGCTCCTTTAAGGGTATATGGGTACTGTAAAACCCTGGGTCCCCCCTGAGCCCAGGACTTCGCTCTTCCCGTCAGCCAGCTCCTGGACGACAAGTTGCTCCCTGTGCAGGCGCCAGCCTCGGTCTCCGGAGGTGTAGAGCTTGCTCTGCCAGCCTGAATCATTAGACACACTATTTCGAAGGGTTTCTTACGGTAACTGTACCAGAATATAACCCAAAACCCTATTGAATTCGCCAAGCCCTCTATATCATGAGCGTTCCAAGTTTACTGTGAGGTGTAAAGGCAGTTGCCGTGGGGCTGTACATCACGCTATGAGCGAGGTTGCTTCAGAGCCTTGTTAGGGTTCTATGCGGGTTTGCTTAAGCTCTGCTGTACGGGCTATCTATGTGAGTTATCATGTCTTTGGCTTCCGGTTTGGGGCGTTTGCAGGCCTTGCATGACAAGGTTGGTCGGGGGCTGAGGCTGCTTTTACTTAGATCCCCAATACCTAACCTTTAAACTTTTTGGGTTCTTATAGTATAGCAGGAATCGGAAAGTTTCACCTTTTATTTCTGCGGCGTATTGGGGAAGCAAGTATAGGATCAGGGGACTAAGTAAGAGCGGTTCTCAGTAAGGCTGAAGTAAGGTGCTGTTTATCACAGATCCTTACGACCCTTCAAATGCAGGTGAAGGGTTTGGGATTCCCGTGATGTCTGGCGCAGGTGAGCACCTGAGCTTGAATGATGGCCCGTCTATCGTGTATATTAAATAATTAAATATAAAGAAACAATATATATATATATATATGTATAGTAGATAGACAAGTATATCAACAAATCCACATAGAATCATCTATACATATGTATATATATATATATATAGAGAGATATACACGTGTACATATATGTGTACAACAGGTGGCGGCTTTGGAAGCCCTTCCTCGCTTTGGGGCGGCAGGAGGTCGCTTTGCCGCGGAGGCTGGGCAGGTTCGGAGATTTTCAAGAGGGCCGGGCATGGGCCCAGGCCGATACCTTGCGACAATGTGGGAGTTTCCGAAAATTTAGGGGTACCTTATATTGGGGTCCTCATAATAAGGATCCTACTATTTGGACTTGGTATTAATTTTTATGCTGAGGGTTTTTATTTTTATGCTGTGCATCTTCCCGTCTCCATTGACCTCCATGTCTCCATCCCATCGTCGATAGGTTTTGTTCTTGTGCGCATGGAGTCTCCTTTTATGCTTGAGTTTTCTCCTTTTTATGCTGCTGGTCTCTATTTTTATTCCAATCTGACCCTTTTTTATGCGGCCCCCTTTCCTTGTTATACTTGGTGGGCCGGCTGGGAGGGTGGGGAGGCCTGGGCCCCATTGCCTCTTTCCATTTTATGCTTGAGATTGGTGTCAGGTTTATGCCAATCTGACTTTTTTTTATGCTGCCCCACCTCTCCCCTTATGCTCTATGGGCCAGATGGAGGGGGCGAGGGGCTGGGCTCCATGGCCGATTTGGGCGAGCCCGACTTTTTTTATGCTGCCCCCCGCCTTTGAGCATCAACTTCGTGTTTGAGGGGCGCATATGGGTTTTGTGGATTTCCGGGGTTCTGCTTCCAGAGCGAAAACCTAGGTTTTGCATAGCTATGGCAAATGTGGTTGAATTTTCGCACGTACGTTTATGGAGATTTTTCGCACCCGAACTTCGCCTTTAAGCAGGCAGGGGTAGGCCTCCAGGCGGCCGTGTAATTACTTTAGAACGGTACACAGCTGGAATGAAAAACCATGGAATGCCTTGGGCAAAAACGAAAAGTCCAAAATAGAATCTCGCAGGTCCTATAGTGTTTTGGCAGATTTGGACATCGGCTTCGTGTTTGAGGGGCGCAGGTGGTTTTTGTGGGTTTCCCGGTTTCTGCTTCCAGAGCGAGAACCTAGGTTTGCATAGCTACGGCAAACGTGGTTGATTTTTTGCAAGTACGTTTATGGCGATTTTTCTGGACCAAAAGCGCGCCACGCGAAACGACTGAAAAAAATCCCTAGGCCGGCAGTAGCAAACAATCACCAAAAATAGAGCTATTTTGGGCCTCGTTTGTGCTGTTTCCAATCGTGAAAGAGCCTTGGTTCTGCAGGTATTGTTGGCTTCAGTCTGCACGAAAATCCCGCTTGAAAAGCTCAAGTGTCATTACCAAAACAAGACTCCCAAACACAAGCATGCCTCTACGTCACCATGCTGCACCTGAATTTTTAGACAGTTTTGTCCATGCCTTTAGAGTTTTTGAGCTGCACCGGTGATTTGAAAGGTTGCCGCACTGCTTTCCATCACGTGCAAGCTTTTGCTGCAGTCGTTCTTGTACACCAACAACACACACACACACACGCACATATGTGTATATATATATATATATATATATAAAGATGTATATGTACAGAAAAACTGTTTCTAGACATATATTTAGATCCAACATTTAAATCGTACTACATATAGAACATAATATATGTGTATAGGATATGTAACGTAATGTACGTTATGTAGGTGGGTATACATATATATCTTATGAAGGTTATGTATGTATAATATGTAATATAGGTCAATGTTGTATGGCATGTTATAGACATTACACGTCATGTTTGAAATAT